AGACGAAAGAACAAGACGCTTTGAAATGAAAATTGAAATTAAGCTATGTCGAACGGGGAAAAGAAACGAGATGTAGAAATAAAAGAACAAAATAAATTAGCTAAAAATTCGAAATAAAATCATTAAAAAATGATTATCATAGCTATTTGGATCGAATTTAAAATGTGTCGTCTCTATTTTAAAAGCCATTTTTATTCCTTCCATTTTTTTTCTCGAGTTTGGCACCGTCGAATTAACTCGTCCCACCTTACTCAGCAACAAGAGAATAATGCGTTCGACTTCGAGATAATTATTACCGACTTCTAATCCGAGATAAAAGTTTATCACAATAATAAAGTTCTTAGTGCGCGTCCTACAAGTTTGTGTACAGGTTTGGTTCAGGATTGCAGATTCCAAAAATACAATCTTGACCTATGCATGTTCGTTCGTACGTTATTTCCAAAAAGGTACACTAATGAATTGCACGTATTTTCGTTCGATTTTTCGTCGTATGAAAATTAATTACACGCATCGCGAAGATTTGATCGGTTTAAAGCTATCAAGCGAGTTTCCTTTTAATAATCTGGGAAAATATGTTATTAGAATTCACAAGGTATACACTTTGTGTTTATAACGTTCCACAAGCGAGATCCAGTCGAAAAATATCTGCATTTAATCGGCCGATAGAAAATGTTTAAATATTCCGATACACGAAAAATCAGTTGATACCAACGTATGGGTAAAAATTTTTGAAAGAACGGTGGAGAAACGAAATCGATGTCATTTAGACATTTTTCAACGGACCCAACTTTTGGTTCTGTTTCTGGTCAAATCGATCAGGCGAAGAACTATTGCTAAGATTTCCCTAAATTGTTATTCAACGGTTCAGCTATACTACGATGTATGTATATACAGCATGGCAGTGATTACACACTCTACATTTCTTTGCCGTACAGTATACGTGCTACAAAAAAATTTTGTAACATTAAACTTGTATGTTTCAAGCCTGGGAACAACCACGCGATGTTCCCACGCATTTCTTTCTTTGTCGATCAATGAAATTGGATTAACCCAATTCTCTTCGGCTAATCGTCGTATTTGACTCGGATGAAAGATTATCGGCGCAGATCAAACATGAACGTGTTCGTCAGATTACCTATAGAACGTACTTGTCAAGCCTAGTTAACGCTTCTCTTCTTCTCATTAGAAAGACAAATTTCCTTTAACAAATCACAAACTGCGCCTGTTACGTCTACGCATAATCTATTGCGTCGAAACTAATCGAATACCAATTTTATCTGAAGCGTATACAAATAAGTTCTGGGATATTCTGGATTTCTAGTCCTGCATTTAATTCTCGATGTAGACAAATTTGAAAAAGCATATTCTATTGTTTCATTTAAATTGCAAAAGGCAATATGAAGAGAAATTAATTATAAAATTTAACGATGCATATTTCAGGTGAAATCCGATCGGTTTTCGTACGAATGTGTTCTTATCAAATATTTTTTATTTCTTGTTTCGTATGGAAAGATAAGGTAAATCGATTTTAATGTGATTTAATGCGAAGACAATAATGAGCGCCTTGTGACTGTGAAAGGTATATATAATTTGTTTTTACGGTTAGTAATTACGCTCGGTTACATTCCTCATACGACATTAGTACAATTATTAATTAATATCTAGGACATATTCACTACTCAAATAGATACTTTATAATAATTACTCTTTACAATCTATCAAAATATTCATCACAGTGCTACGGACACAAAATTGTGTTCTGTTTATACGTGTAAATAATGATTCATTTTCATCGAGCAGGAAAAGTCGCGTAATCTAGCCACTCGTTGATCTTGCAAGCTACGTTTTATCTCACGCGAGAATGCATGTTCTTCCGTTAGATTTTCTTCCTTTTACTCTCCGCCCCATCTCTACCTTTGTTTTTCTTTCTTGTTTCTTTTCCTTTTTTTTTAATAAAATAAACGACGTCTTTAACCGTCTTTCAATTTTCTTCTGAAAATATTAACGAATCGATATAAATGACATCTATTTAAATTACACTTTAAACGATTTTCTAGATCACATAGTTCTCTTTTCATCTTTTGTACAATAGTTTGAGGATTCTTTTCAATGTCAACGAGAGACTCGATTCTTAGTATTTTCTCGTGCTCGTATCACTTATTTTCTTCCTTTCTTCTTTCCCTTTCGCCTTTTTTAAACGTTGAGTGCTACACACACACGACAGCATCGTCCCATTAAAAAAAATTCTTAATCTTAAACTTTACACATGACTTATATTTACAACAATAAATTGAGAAGATGGCCTTCCAAGGAGATCGTCTAGCTTACTAGATTAAATCGACGAGCTCAGGCAGCTAGAAACTTTGTTCATTTTCATTTATTTGAAGAGAAGCCGCGATTGCAAAACCGAAGTTCAACTTTGCTCGTAATATGAAAGACACAAAAATTAAAAACAGCGATCTTCACCAAATAAATTAATTCTGAACGAAAAATCATTTCGATAAATTTCATATTTCGGCTGAACAGCAACAACAAAACCGAAGAACCTTAACCACACGTAGTTTTTTCACATCGAAAGCAATATCACTGATAAATCAAAGAGGAACAAAATGAACTAGATATGAACTATGAGAGAAACGATTTTCATAAGATGTTCCCCTTTAAACGCTTTTTCTACTTGTTCATCCGCAATATTTCTTTTAACAAAACAAATGATTTTTCTCTTTAAACGTTTTCCCACTGTTTCCATCCATTGAATTATCTCTCCTTCTTTTTGTAAAAACCATCCCAAAATATTATATTACCTCCAATTGCTTTCGTAAATAATTTTTCATAATCTTCCTCTCAAAAGGATCATTTCCACAAAGGTTTCTCACCAGTCCCAAATACATCCTTGCATAAAGAAATTTTCTGTTCGAAAAACTAGATGATCATTACGAGTGAAGCCTTGAGATATTTCGCGTCTCTTTTCTCTTAAATTGTCTCAATCCTTAATCAATGCATAATCGACACTTTGTTTGAACAACGCATTCTGAACATTTGACTGGGACTGGTAAGAAAAACTGCTCTCGGTTTAAACGTCTGCGTGAAGGGGACTAGGCGAGCGGAGCGACTGACAGCAACCCCATGGAAAGAGCCACGCGGCTCAGCACCTTGGCGAAAATTTCGGATTGGTAGGGCCGTGGATGTAGCTTCGTAATTCCTTTGGTGGCTCTGACCCGAAATCCGATGCCGTATCGACGTCGGATTTGCGACAAATGATCATACGGATATCCGTATGCAAATAAATCCGACCCGATTTGCCGGACATAAATCTGCAAACGAAACGGCTCGCTTTTAACATCGTCGAACAGCTTCTGTATACAAGCGGTGATTAATATTTGTGACCGCACAATGAAGCTTTAATCTGGTTATTGGGTTTTAATTGCAGGGGAGAGTAGTAGACAAAGCAAAAAGTAGCATAGAACGATCAGAAAAGAAGGAAGATTTAAAACGAAAAAATTAACGATCGTGGCTTCCAGGTGCCAGTGGTACTATACACACGTTCTAAACTAATTATTACATGCACGTTCAGCCACCGAGTACCATCTGCTTTTCACTAACATTTGTTGTAACGTATATAAAAAATATCTGTTTCGTATTTAAAAAAATTTACAAACCACTAACTGTTGTATTATATTACCATGCACAAATTACGATAAAAAGACTGTGATATTTATAAATTTGAGGACAATTATACAAGGAAGCCACGATCATTGTTAGGAACACTGTTTTAAAATTTTATCTAACAAGAAGGGAGAGGTATCTTTTGGTTATAGGTAGTTGAACGTTAAAAATCTACAAAATTCGAAGTTCTCCAGGAGAATCAATAGTACGCACCTAAGATGTACGAGGTAGCGTAGTGTTTTGTCCCGCAGTGTTCTCTGACGTAAAAAAGTATGAGATCGTGGTGGCATATCGGAAAGATCGTATAGTACTACGAACATCTTAACGACTGTACCCAAAGGATTGAAAAGCGTTACTTGAATAGTACCGCTTCTTGGTACTTGGTAGCCCTTTTTGCCCAAATTAATATGTGCCTATGCAAAAGTAACAGTCTCCGTTTGATCAATATGTCCAGTTACAATATAAATATTTTATAAAAATAGAAGAAAACAAAATTTATTTCTAAATGAAGTACAAGGAGACAAAAAATAAAAAGATTGCGCTTTCAAATTCATATTGGATCATTGTAAAAAAAAAACAATAATCAAATGAAACAAAAATTAATATGATAAAGCAATTAGGTATACGTACGAGATAGGGCGTAGAAACTTTGTCATTGTCACCGAGGGTGTAGAAAAACACAGTGACCGGAAGCTTTCGATGTTTCGGGCAAAAGGAACCGCTCGCACCTAATTCTGCCGTAAAACCGTGAACCGTCGACACAGGTTCGAGTCTACCATTCAGAGCCGATTCCTCAAAGCTGCCTAAAAGGGCGTGACTCTGTGGTCTGCTACGCGACGATGAGCGTCTTTTCGGCGTTTCCTCTCCTTCGCCAGCATTTTCAGTATCTCTGTCGGTCTCTTCCAGCGACACCGCGCCTGGGCTTGGTGGGGTATTCAACTCGAACAGTGCACTAAAATCAGAAAGCTCGATTTTACAAGGCGCTGCGTTTTGCAGCCTAAAGGCAACGAGCTTTTTCGTTTCTCGGAACACGTGTTCATACCTTCTTTTCGAGGAGACGGAATTCAGGCTGCTATCGTAATCGAAGCAACAGCTGCCCCTTCTTAAAGGTGCTGGGCTAGATGTCAAGGGCAAACCAGTTCTACTGTGGAACACCATCGAGGCAGCGTTCTCCAAGGACCGCCGAAATCTCTCTTGCTCGATCGCAGTTGGCACCGCTTTATCCACAGTCTCATCTTCTTCCACGGTGTTATCTTTGCCGATACTGTTGCTTCGAATTTTCGAAGGCAAATAATTATTTTTCCCTGGTGTCGAAATACAATCGTTGCACAGCTTAGTTTCATCATCTTCTTCCTCCTCCTCGTCTTCTTCTTCTTGCTCGACTGTGCTGTCCTCTTCATTTGTACTATGCAGCCTATTTTGCCATTTGCACGTCTCTACCTCGTCATAATCGCATCTATCCTTCTTATAATTTGTACTATAGGTTCGTGGTTTTTGATGTGCGCCATTTGTACTAAGCTCTGAAAGATCGGGACACGCGACACGCTTCTCCGTTTGTTCGACAACATTCGGGAAATTGATCCTCCTCTTCGCTTTGTTGTCCCTCAGATTCTTTGGATCGTGCAGGCTTGGCTGGACGTTATTGTACGAGAACGAACGTTGACCGCTCTGTTGAACAACATCTTGTGAACTGCCCTCCTCGGCCAAGGTCACTTTTTTCTCCTGCTCTTTTTTGAAAAGCTGGCGGAATCGATTGAATCTCTTATTAAACGCCATTGGCAACGACTTCTCGTCCTCCAATGGCACAGTTTTCTGTTCCGAATGCATTTTGTCGGAGGACACGTTGTTTCGATCGATCTCCATTTCGTTGATGGCTGTTGCTAACGACGTGGATCTCGATTTGGTCCCATTGGAAACTTCCGATAAGTTCCTACGATCTTTACTGGTTCGTAAAATTGCTCCCAATAGTATGTCCGCTTTGTTCGATACGTTCTGTAGACAGTCCACAGGTTCGTTTGTCCGTCTTTCAGAATTATTGCATTTAATAGTCTGTAGATCCTCGTTCGATCCACTATCGTCAAGTTTCTCACGTTTCTGAGAGGGATTGTAAATATTTTTATTGCCATAGATCTCAGAGAAATGGGTTTTCTCTAAAACCTGCTGATCGTTTTTCCTGCACAGCTTGTGGCTACAACCTTCACATGGTTTCGCGCGATTCACCATATTGTTTGCCGTACACTCACTACTCTCTAAATTTACGTACTTGTCCGTCCCATCTTGAAACGACTTTTCTAATCTCTCTCGTCGCTTCATCGACCTGACGCTTGTTCTCTTCCGTTCGGACGGTGTTCTAGCCCTTAACACAGCCAGAACTTCGTCGAATTCCTGCTGACTCAATTCTAAATTGCAGTTTTTGAATCTCACTTCATTCCCGTGCTGTTCCTGCCCCTTCAAATTAGTACCCTTCATTTTATTCTCTGCGTAACCAATATTAGGTGTCACACCCAGAACTCGGCCAGGAACTTTGCTGAACCACTCCAAGAATCCTCCTTCCTCTTTCGATCTGTCTTTATCTTCAGGAAAAGACAGTTTTGATATCAATTGACTCAAATCCTTCCCAGATCTTCCTCTGTGGTTTGAGCCGTTATCCGACTCTACAGATTCATGTCCATGAAACACTGCTTCAGAATTCGACAGTTTGTTCGACGATTTAGCGCAGCTTTGATGTACCATACAAGCAGAATCCAGTTTCAATCGGTTATTCGTTGAAGGGCCAGGATTTGACTCGTGAAAGGGACTAGGTTGCCTGAAGGGATTGATTACGTGGCTCGAATCCTTGTTGACTGGCGGCTTGTATGTTGTCTCGGAGTCGTGGAAATAACTCTCCTTGTTCGTTCGGAAACTCTGGAAAGCGCACTTTCCATTTGCGTTACTATTATTCCAAGACTCCACAAAAGACCAAGGCAATGAGGAATTGAAAGGTATGAGGTTCTCGAAAATACCGTTTTTCTCCGATGACTTCATCTCGGTCTCCTTTTGCTTTTTCTCCAAGTTACACTGCTTCTCCTTGCAATTCGACACGCACTTCAATTCAGTATCCTCAATCGTCCGTTTGTACCGCTTCTCCAAGTTTCCCTCCCGATCGTCGATGCTCAGTTGCGTCTTGAAGGAGCGTTCCAGATTGTCAGAGTTTAGATTGTTTCGATTCCTGAGCGTGTTGTCCTCGAACTTGCAACTCTGACCTTGCGCAGACTTGACGACCCCGCGATTGTTCGTGATCTCGGTTGAACATTTCGGATAGCTGGAGCTGTGACTGTCCTTCGATTCGTGCGATACGAGTTCCCGCAGAGACGGCAGAGGCATCGGTTGAATCGTCACACAGGTGCTCGTCTCGGTAGGACCGCAAGGAAGCGATCGACGGCGTTTCCTCTCGCGATTCTGTCGCGGTATCGCTGGTGATGGTGGTGAGACATCTTCCTCTTCGCAAGGACAATGATGCTTTCCAGGCTTGTTGCACGGCGTCTGGAGCCTGTCATCCACCAAAGCTGTTCCAGAAAAAATAATTTGTTTCGTACCATGCTCAAGCTAGACTGTATCATTTATACGTTATTCGAGCATCAGCTTCATGATTTAAAGGAAAATAAATATGAAACGTGTATTAGTTAAATAATTGAGAAAAGTAAAAATGAAAAATAGCGAGTTCTACAATATAAGACGACAGTGTGTATTAGAAAAGAACATAAACGAGCACGTGAAAGTGATACTCGAACGCAGAAATGTCACGTTGATCGATTCCAATTCTCCCTCATTACCAGGCAAAACGAGGCTTTCAGGATTTTGCGCAGCACTGGGAACCGGGTTAGCCTTGGTGGGTGTCAAAGCCCTCGCGACACCCTCCTCGTCTTTCTCTTTAATCGGGTGCAACGGGCAGGTGAGACTCGGCACCTCCTCCATCCTCGGCAGTGCCCACACGGTGACCTAAAATTTACACGAGAAATCCTCTTCAGCTCCATTAAATCACAGCAGTCGCGAGTACTCTCGGAACGAGATCGGGTAGCCGGTGTGACTCATCTGCTGGTTAAAAGTAGGCATTCGTTAGTGTCCTCGAACCACCAGAATAGAACCGTGGATGGTACTCCAAGAGTACGTAAACGTGGAGAACCACCATGCGAAAATTCCATGGACGGTTCGAGGAACATTGATCTCGCCTATTAATCGCGAGTCAAACTTTCATTTCGAGCGCTAGCCACAACTTATTGCAGCATGACCCTTGGATCTGATTAAGATCGTCTATTTTCATCCAAACTGTTCTCGAACATAGAATGTATATATATATATATACACACGGTATAATGCCAATATCAATTGTCAATGAGTTCGATTGAGCGAATCAATGATACATAATAAAAAAGTATCGACGATGGAGGTTCAAGTTTTTGTGTACCGATTGATGACAATGTTCCTGGATTCAGATAAATAGATGATTCGACACTTACCTTTATCGAATTTCCATCGCCGTTACCAGCCAAGGGGAACGTGTGCTCAACTGGGGCTTCTCGGAATTTCCTCAGAGTTTCTTCGTTATGTGGAACCATCCTCGTCACGATGTAACTAGGCTCGACGCCGTTACTTCTGGACCACCAAGCGGCGACCTGGCTGAAGTGAAGTCTCGAACGAACAGCTTGATACAACCCATAATAATTCATGGTCTCTGGACTCCTGAGAATCAATTATTTGTTTGCTTTATTAAGGAAAAGAATAATATTGGTTTAAAAGTATCGAATAATTCGTTGCTTGATCGAATCTTTACTACATATATATAAATAACATATGCAATGCTGATATTCTTCAAAATAATAGAATCAAATGTGGAATGACTATATAGTCGAATACTTACTTGCTGGGTACAACGGAAACACACCAATATTCCAGCAGCATTTCCGACGCTTGTTGCCATGGTGAGATTGATAAGGACGGCACAGTGCTGATCGGGTTCTTGTTCGTAGATTTGGCCGAACCGCATGGGCAGTCACTGCACAGCACTACTTCGATGCATAAGAACGAACCGATCGCGATACGATCCGCAATTTCTCGTACAAGCACAAGGTATCGATCACACTGGACAGATCACGTAATGAAACTTAGAATGATACATTTTGAATAAGGAATATAAATCTCCATTATTGAATTAATAATCGTTTATGAAAAGAAAATGTTTCCTGACCGAAATGACGCTACTATAAAATTGAGAGATATGTTAAATAAAAAGGAACGTGAAAATGAGTTTTTTTTACCAAGTAATTATCTTCGTCGCACACGTGGCCGTTAGGCAGCGCCTGCATGGGCGCTGCACAGTGTGGGCCCTCTTTGTAGCCACGTGGAGGGCCCTGAATCCTCCCTTCGCATACAAGGACCCCAAGGGCTCGGAACACGCTGAAAATGCCACCCCGACCGCCAACCCCATTTAGGCTGGGAATGCCTCCTGCCACTGCACCTAGACAGTGCATACCTGCAACAGAAGAAAAATGTTGCACTGTTAGTATTCAACGCGTTTCTCGGAAAAAATTCGAGCCTCCTTTTTTAACGTCGCTTCAAAAAGGACAAAAATTGAAAGCATCAGAGGCGTGCATAAATAAAGAGTTCCTCAACTAAAACAAGTTGTCCCTTCTTTTTCATTGCAAACTGGCACGAACCTGTGCGCGTTCTCCTTCTGTGGAAGCAATTTCCAACGCACTGCAACAGGATCGTCGACATTTTCAAGAGCCGTTCTCGGGGGGAATGAAAACTGGAACGATTCGCACACTACTACCGCTATATCGTCAATCTTAAATGTATCACCTCGACGGATCGCTTCTTCGTACTTGGCTCAGATATTTCTCTTACGATATCTTGATCAGAGAAATTAACTCTGTCTTTCTAACCGATATTTACAATGGAAAATGACGCAGGTCGTCGCAATCTTTGTATCCCTATGAATCACTCTTCGAGCTAACGAGCTGTCTAATAGAAAAAATACTAATTGTATGAACGTTTAGGGGAAAGCAGCAGATGTAAAACTCGTAGAAGCTGAAAATCGCACTTGTGGGGTATCGAGATATTGGCCGCGTAGATTGATGTACGGTGGTCAGGCCTTCGTAAGGTTTTCCTCAATTTCTTTACACCTGACATCCGATCCGAGATTTCGTTGTTCGTCTTCCGTCGGTCATTATATAAAGGTGAATATGCAGGAGGGCGATGAGCATTATTTATAACTTTGCTTGCCGCCATACGCGGCGAAAGCAACCAACCGGATTAGCTTCCTCGCCGCTTTTCTCCGAGCGAACGAACGCTGCGTACACCCGCCGCTACGTCGGCTTTGCTTTATCCGGCAATGGAAAACGCGAATATTCTTCAGTACGCGTAACTCACTCTGCGCAGAAGATTCGTCGGGTTTCGTAGAAAATTTCTGGTAAACTTCACCGACCAGACACGGAGGAAGCGTGTCTCTTCCAGTTACAATTTTCTCGGCACGTACTTGCGAACTATGCTGAGAGCAACTATTTCGAGCTGTTCACCGATGCGAAATCTTTCTTCCTGCATCTTTCGATACTGCTCGGTCTCCTTAACTTCTGCCAACTTCTTATTCGACTGTGACAGATCCAGCGGTACGGCACGCAACACTTCCGCCGATGAAAATAAACGAGAAAGTAGTCTTCAGAGCGCCGAGAACTCACCGCCGAGCCACGGCGTACAGTATTTCCAAATCGTTACAAACAACGATACGACGAAGTCGTAACAGAGAAATTGGATTGCCGCCTCGAGAACGATGTAACGCCTCTACGAAAATTTAGTAGCGCATGGAAATTTCCCCGACGATAACAGATGAGCAGCTCGAACCCTCGCAGTGGTCTCACCCCTTTGACACGCGAATTTGTTATTGTCGTAATGCGTAGTTCGATTAGAGCGTAGTCAACCGCGAGCCGCGATTAGGCGACGCGAAAAATTCGCCGAATGTCGCAACCGGCACGACCCGTGCTCGCACGATGAGGAATTTGAATAAAGAACTGCGCGCCGTCACCGGCTACCACACGCACGGCTTTCACGTGTGTCGAGGGTCTGTGTACGAAGGGAGATCTTGTGGGGCTCCACGAGGGTGATCGTACTCGGGTGTCATGCGCAAAAAGTTCGCAACCCTTGACGAAGTCCTTTGAGAGACGCTCTGTCAGGATTAAGAGGCAACCTCTGCCGCATGGATACTAGTCAGCAACCCCATAAACAGAGAAATTTATAAAACTCATTCCCTCATCATATTATTTTCATCGAGCAGTTGTCTGCACTCTCATCGTTCCCAGCAGCTCAATCTTTCTAATCTCTTCAAAATTAAGCATCGGTAGAAGGACTGTTGGAACATTTATAAATACAAATAACAAAAATGAATCTTATGTTTAAGGATGTATTGGCTATACATTCTTAAGTGAAACTCTGCCCTTAGCACAGCATGTTCATAACACGAGACTATTATGCCAATCAGTTGTGCATGACTATTTCTACTATTGGAGGCCTGGGTCGTAAATAATGTAATGTTTCCTAATTAGGCCCAAAATCTGTCTTAAGAGTGATAGGTTCTTCTTCACTTGCAATGCAGATTTCTTCAAGAACAGACGTTCTTCCAAGCAATTATAATAAAAGATTATAAATAATGAGAAATAAATTTCTTTCATTAACCCATTTCCAATAAAGACCATTGATGTGCAGACCTTTCGATTTCGTTTTCGTAATAATGACATTAAAGAAAATTGAATATTACACGTAATTTGGTTGAAGAAAATTGCTAACAGAATGTCAGGTTAACGCATCGCTGATTCCGAATGAATCTTTACGTACATGTAGATGAAAAAATATAATGACGGACGATGCATCCTGATCCTGAGTATACGCGATAAGTATCCGCGTATTGCCTTGAGTGGCATCAGGTTCTTAGACCGATTTACTCGTTGCAAAAAATTGCTTTATACCGCTTCTAATCGTGTCGCCCAGTAGTCTGGAACGGCCGATTATCCTTTACTGAAATCTTGTTAGCGCCAAGGCACTGTCAGAGTTTTCCCGTATAATTAGCCGCTCCTAATCCAGTAAGCAACTGACCAGAAAACGAAACCGTGATTTTTAGTTAAATATCCTTAGTTAAAGGCTGACGGATATAAGTTTCTAAACGACAGACTGATGGAACGAATATGAGCGTGCCTCGCCTAATCCGCGAATCGATCGAAGATGAAACGACTCTTGCTACCCCAGGCGTAATATGTCAGATCCCTTCCATACGGACGCAACAAAAGGATGCTTTCGTCGATATTATATGATAAAATACTCAATGCAAACACTGTAAGTTCAAAGTGTTTACTTTCCTATGAAGGAACCTTCGAACGATCGGGGCTTCGAAATTCATAATCGAGGAAGTTGCACTTTGTGCTAAGAACCAAAGCAGGTCCAGAGCGAAATTTTAATCGCGTGATCAAAGCGGCTTAAACGATTTCGGCACGGTCATTGAACGAGAGCAAGCGAGGTTCGAACCTCGAAGAAGACCTTCGACAAAGTAAAGGGAAAGGGATCCTGGGTGGGACAAAAAGGTCGAGTCGTAGGTACGTGCGGGAAGCGAGGTCGCAGGAGGTTGAGGGAAAGAGCGATGCGCTTCTGGTGCAGCGCGCTGTGAATGCGCCAGCTGATCCAGCTGAGAAAACACCGGTTCGTTGGCGCCAGCATTATCCGTCACGTAGTAAACAAGCTGAATTATATTCTGATAAACTTTACTTTCCCGATCCCTTCTTCCTACTTTCACGTATCAAACAATCAACTCGCGATTGCTCTTAATTGCATCGACCTTCGCACCGTTACCAATAAACATCTTTCGATCCTGCGACTGGGAACCCTCCGGAGAATGGCCCATTTGAAAACAATGGGGGGAAAAAGAGAGAAAGTCGAGAAGAGTGAACCTTTTCAAAACACAATGGGCGACTCCGTTGCAAAATCCTCAGGATCGTGTAAAACGCGAACTTCGAAACAGTTATGCGACCGCTATCCCACTGGCTCGTGGAAGGTTTTGCCAGCCAGCCGGCTGGAAAGCAGGTAGCAAAAATTGGTTACTAAACGACTGTCAATTATCACGATTCGTGTACCCATTATTAGCGGATGGAATTGCTCGGACAAGCTGAGTTACGAGTACGCATTCGCGAGTATATAAATACGTACCTATCGTGTAAAAGCTTGGATGAGATCAGACGAGGTTGCTGGGTCTGCATGATAAAGATTGATGGTACAAAAGCCATTAGCAACTGTTATGCGCGACTCGTCCGCAAGATATGAGAAAAAAATGTTTCTGGTTCACTATGCTTATTACGTTTGGATAAACGCTTTATCATGAAATGAACGTCACTTGCAGACGATTTACGGTTCGATAAAAGTGTATTTTCTTTTTTTATACCGCATTTAATTTAATGAACAGTGGTAAAAAATACGCGCTGCTTTCTGCCCGATCGAATTTCTTGTCAGAATACGAAACGAGGCGAAGTGTAACGCGAGGCGTGCATTAACTTTTATATATGGGAGAAAACGAACCGTGAAATTTATAGTTGAAACGCGGACGTAAACGCATTAACAGAATTACATGGTGGGCAGAGATTCCAGATAATTTTATTAACATAGTCATTTTTATATCGACTTAACACGAGGCATATGAAAAGTTCTTATCGTTATCGAAACGACCTCTCGCAATCGTTCTTGATAACGTGCATATGCACATGTAAACAAACACCCTGGACCCTGCCCTAGGTCAACTTTTTATTTTTTTAATAATTTGCGAAACGAAGCAACTATGTGCTTATTTAATCAAATAATACTGATTTATATGCTTACTGCAAATTAATAATTGTTGATGACTGATCGTTAATTACAAATCCCAATAAGTAATCAAGCATTAATATAGAGACGAACATCTTTCAACCCAGTAGAGGGAGTACCACATGGTTGAGAATAAATTGAATCCACGTTGTTGCCGAAATAATTGATCGCAATCAGCAGCATCCGGCAGAGTCAGGGAGCAAATAATACGTGAAATTGCTAGTTCTCGGCTATGATAATGCAACATAATGCGTGACAATAAAATTTAGTACGTGCCTGCGACGTCAATACGTCTTGTTGAAACCGTGGCTAAACCAGTCGCGCGGTTTTAAATGAGAAAGCGCGTTTCAGGACCGTGCATCGTTAGCGTTTCATTAACGTAGCACCACGCTTTTCAAGGGGCAATAAATGTCCAGCGATTTAACAAGCGTTCAGTTTTTAACCGGATACAAGGAAAGGCTGAGGAGCGAACTAGCTGGGAGCGGGCATGAAAAATGCAGAAGATCCGCTAGCTAGCTACCCAGCTGCTGTTTTATTCCCGTTCTCGGCGCAAACTGAAAGCAGCAAATGGCACAAAGACGGTGCCGCCAATGCGCGCTCGCATTTCGCTTTCATTTTGCACTGCGAACATCGGGAGCT